CTCTCTCTCCCCCTCTCCCTCTCTCTCTCCTGCTCTGACTGACTGTGAGATGGTTCTCCGTATTGTCATGTTGCAGTGCGGGCGTCGCGTGAGCCCGGCTGGCTCTCTCCCTCTCTCTCTCTCTCCCCCTCTCCCCTCTCGCTCTCTCTCTCTTCTCTCTCTCTCCCTCTCTCTCTCTCCTGCTCTGACTGACTGTGAGATGGTTCTCCGTATTGTCATGTTGCAGTGCGGGCGTCGCGTGAGCCCGGCTGGCTCTCTCCCTCTCTCTCTCTCTCCCCCTCTCCCCTCTCGCTCTCTCTCTCTTCTCTCTCTCTCCCTCTCTCTCTCTCCTGCTCTGACTGACTGTGAGATGGTTCTCCGTATTGTCATGTTGCAGTGCGGGCGTCGCGTGAGCCCGGCTGGCTCGAGGGAACACTCAACGGCAAGACGGGACTCGTACCGGAGAACTACGTCGAGTATCTGCAGTGAGGGGGCGCCGGCGGAGCGCGCGGGGGCGCCACGTGTCGCTCGCCGACACCTGCGGCCGGCGGGCCGGGAGCGGACTAGTGTCTAGAGGTCAGAAGTTGCGGAGTCGTGGCAAGACCTCATGAACGCGCAGCTAGAGGTCACGACCTGCAGCTAGAGGTCACGACCTGCAGCTAGAGGTCACGACCTGCAGCTAGAGGTCACGACCCCGCAACTAGAGGTCACGACCCGCACCTATCTCTGCGTGGCTGGACGCGCGACTCCGCTCCTTCTACATGCAGCTGGTCTGGAGACGGATGCGGAGAGAGAGAGGGCCAACGCCGTCGCCGTGGCAACGCGAAGCCACCGCCCCCAGCGTCTCGTCTCTCCTCTCCTTGGTCGGCACCCGCCGCCCGAGACGCGCGACTCGCGAGTGAGACGCGTGAGACATGACGGGGAAGACGCGAGACGAGGCATCCGCGTTCCCCCGCGATTATTCTGAAGCCAGTAGAGCGCGCCGCGGCAGCCGGAGAGAAACCGGCGACGCGAGACAGTAACCTCGCGTCTCCGCCACCGCCACCGCACGACTCGAGACTCGCGAGTGAGGCACACGAGACGCGACGCGGGAAGATGCGAGACGCAGGAGACGAGGCGTCCGCGTCCCCCCGCGATTATTCTGAAGCCAGTAGAGCGCGCCGCGGCAGCCGGAGAGAAACCGATGACGCGACATCGTAGCCGCCGCTCGCTCGCACGCTAGTTAGTTCTCCTATTGCTTCCCCCGAATCGAGGAAGTCACCCTCTCTCTCTCTACATACGGATCTCAATATCCGCGTATTTCTTCGTGCGAAAGGAGAGGAACATGAGGAAGCCACAGCACGCGCGTTTGCTATCGGAGGGAGGGGGGGGGAAGGTCGTAGACGGTTCGCGTGTACAGACGACGTTAAGCCAGTAAAAGTCGACGCCTGCTGCCCCGCGTTTGATCTAGAGGTACTGGTGCTGGCCTCTATCCTCAATCTTGAAATAATGAATTCTCGTTCGCGCGCAGTCGCGAACGGGAGATCGCCGCGAAACAAGCGAACGGCAGGACGAGCGGCTAATGACCGATTTAACTAGCCGCCAGTAACGTCGCGCGGTCGCGACCACCAGGGGGCGGCGCTCGTCTCCTCCCGCCCGCGCCG